GTGTTATCATTTTCATTGGCTTCCGTGAACTTTTTAATTTTCTCTTTAACTTCTTAGTTAGCCCATTCATTCTTTAGTAGGATGTTATTTAGTCTCCAAGTATTTGTTACCTTTCCAAATTTTTTCTTGTGGTTGATTTCAAGTTTCATAGCATTGTGGTCTGAAAATATGCATGGTATGATCTCAATACTTTTGTACTTGTTGAGGGCTGATTTGTGTCCCAGTATGTGGTCTATTCTGGAGAAACGTTCCATGTGCACTGAAGATGAATGTATATTCTGCTGCTTTAGGATGAAATGTTCTGAATATATCTATTAAGTCCATCTGGTCCAGTGTGTGATTCAAAGCCATTGTTTCCTTGTTGATGTTTTGATTAGATGATCTGTCCATTGCTGTGAGTGGGGTGTTGAAGTCCCCTACTATTATGGTATTACTATCAATGAGTTTCTTTATGTTTGTAATTAATTGATTTATATATGTGGGTGCTTTCACATTTGGAGCATAAATGTTTACAATGGTTAGGTCTTCTTGGTGGATAGACCCCTTAATTATGATATAATGCCCTTCTTCATCTCTTGATACAGCCTTTAGTTTAAAGTCTAGATTGTCTGATATAAGTATGGCTACTCCGGCTTTCTTTTGTGGACCATTAACATGATAGATGGCTCTACATCCCCTTACTTTCAATCTGAAGGTGTCTTTAAGTCTAAAGTAGGTCTCTTGTAAACAGAATATACATGGATCTTGTTTTCTTATACATTCTGTTACCCTGTGTCTTTTGATTGGAGCACTGAGTCCGTTGACATTTAGAGTGATAACTGAAAGGTATGAACTTATTGCCATTATGTTGGTTGCAGAGTTGGAGTTTCTGGTGGCGTTCTCTGGTCCTTTCTAGTCTTTGTTGCCTTTTTTTTTGTTTGTTTATTATTTCATCTTTTCTCCCCTCAGAGAATCCCCCTTAAAATTTCTTCCAGGGCTGGTTTAGTGCTCACAAACTCCTTTAATTTTCTTTCGTCTGGGAAACTTTTTATCTCTCCTTCTATTTTGAATGACAGCCTTGCTGGATAAAGAATTCTTGGCTGCATATTTTTCTGAATCAGCACATTGAACATATCCTGCCACTCCTTTTTGGCCTGCCAAGTTTCTTTGGATAGGTCTCCTGCAAACCTGATCTGTCTTCCCTTGTAGGTTAAGGACTCTTTTTCTCCCTTGCTGCTTTCATGATTCTTTCCTTGCCTGAGTATTTTGTGAATTTGACTATGATATGCCTTATTGATGGTCAGTTTTTGTTGAATCTAATGGGGGCCCTCTGTGATTCCTGGATTTTTATGTCTGTGTCTTTCCCCAGGTTAGGAAAGTTTTCTGCTATGATTTGCTCATAACCCCTTCTAGTTCCATCCATGTAGTTGCAAATGACAAGATTTCATTCTTTTTGATTGCCGAGTAATACTCCACATCTTCTTTATCCATTCATCCATAGAGCTCCTCCTTTCTTACAGTGGAGAGTGTTTGGACCTTTAGCTGGGTTTGCTTTGATTTGTTCATTAAAATAAGCCTGGAAAAAAACAAACAAACAAACAAACAAACAATAAAAAACCTGATCCTGTAAAAGAAAGGGAAAAGGAACAAAAAACACCAATCAAAAAACTATAAGCTGAATTCAAAGAGAAAGAAAGCTAAAAAAATAAAAGACAAATAAAAGAAAAAAGAAGCTTGACCCTCCCAAAAAGGAGAAAGGAAATGAAAATAACAAACTAACAAACATATAAAACAGTATGAGCCTGATTCTAGAAGAAAAAAGAAAGAAAGAAAAACAAATAAACAAACAAATGGGGGCGGGGGGGCTGTGGTAGAAAAAAAGTAAACCTGGTCCTGTTTCCACCAGAACTACATGTGTCATTTTGAAGCATTCAATTTTCAGTACAGTTGGTACATGCAGGGTGCTGCCTATGGTGGTCTTCTGCGTGAGAGACTGACTGAAATGGCTCAGAGTCAGTCTTACTCCAGTAAATAAGCAGTTACCAGGCACTTTGAGGCAGGTTGTGGTGTAACCGGGTCCCACCTCTGCTGGAGGCTGCTGTGTTGGTCTCAGAAGTCCCACTGTGTTGGTATTGGGGGAAAATGACGCCACCCCAATCTTTGTCCCCAGAAAGAATCTCACATCCCCCACCATTCAGGCAGTCCTCACAGATAGTAAGGGCAGTCAACTTGCCCTGCACCACAGCTTTCTTGAGTTTTTCCTTGGTGTGCAGCTGGAATACAAAACTTGAAAACTTAATGGGCACAGCACTACATGGACCTGCTTCCCTTCTCTGGAGTAGAGCCTCTGCATGCTGTGTCAGATGGTTTTTGTCCCAGAAGAATAGTTCCTCGCCAGCATGTTGTGTGGAGTGTATAGTGTAGCACTACTGAAAGCAGCAACAAGGTCATATGCTATCTGCTGTACCTCTGTCCCCTGCTGATGAAACACCATTAGCTGGCACCTATAGGTTCTTTTGTCCTTGGAGAGGCAATAAACCTCTTCCAAAAGTACTCCAGGAAGGGGAATGTTCTCTCCCAGTGTGCCTTGAAGGTCCCTACACCAGGCTATGCACTCTGGGGCCAGCTCCTTCCTTCCCCCCATGACCACACACTACAGCTCTCTGCTAGAGAGTCACACACTTCCAAAACTTCAGGGTTGAGCTGCACACGCTGTTTGTAAACCACAAAACATAACAAAAACCTGTAACGCTCAGTACTTCTTGCACCCCAGTCTGTGGTCTAGAGAGATTTTCCTCTTGTGTGAACCCAGTGCTATACTCTCTCAACACCTCTCTCGTTCCCTCCCTTCTTTTCTCTTACCAGAAAGGGTTTCCTCCCCCTCTGCAGCACTGCCATTTTTCTATCCACCAATTCATATCCATGTACCTCACACCTGCCACCCTGTCTCCCTCCAACCATGCAGGTCCTTCTGCCACTCTGCAGATCGATTTCCTGGGTGTTCCAAGTGATGTGACCTCGGTAGAGCTGTGTTTGGGGGGTGAGAAAGCTCAGGGTTCCCCTATTTCTCCTCTATCTTACCTCCTCCCCCTGGAACTTCTCTTTAGAATGCCTCCTATCATTAAAATACTTTTGCACTTGAAAGAGTAACCTATGTTTGGAAAATTCCCTTAACTGGTACTGTGCCTGGTGGTACTGGTTCCAAAATGTGGTTCAAGCTCAGCTGGTCTGCAGTGGGAGCGCCCTCCTCTCAGGTGATGCTTTAACAGAGTTTTCTGCTGAAACACTGTCTCCTGTGTGACCTCGCTTTATTTCGTTTCCTGTCATTGCAGCAATCCCACTGTTGGGAGAGATGCCAGTTCAAAGCTCAAGTCCATGAAGCTACTTGAGGTTCTGAATGCATTGGAGGAGGAGGGTCCTAGCCACCGCAGGGAAGAGATCTTCATTGCGCCACCTGACAATGCCTCAGGGGATTTCACTGATGAGGACTCAGGTGATGAAGATGGCCAGCGAGGCTCCCATGTGCCCGGTAGTGTGCTGCATGCCTCTGTTGTACCTGAGGACTCTGGCACTGAGGAGGAGGATGACGACCTGCAGCCACCACCAGCCATGAAGAGGCAGAAGGCAGTAGTGGAACCTCAGCGTGTTTGGATCAAAAGAGATATCCAACCCAACTTCCGCAGCTGGACTCCATCAGATCCCCATATAGAGGATCTCAAAAGCCAGGAACTGAGTCCTGTAGGCCTATTTGAGTTGTTTTTTGATGAAGGAACTATTAATTTTATTGTTAATGAAACCAATCGTTATGCTTGGCAAAAAAATGTCAACCTTGGGCTCACAGCCCAGGAATTAAAGTGTGTTTTGGGAATTTTGATTTTAAGTGGGTATATATCCTATCCAAGGAGAAGGATGTTTTGGGAAACATCTCCTGATTCACATCATCATCTTGTGGCTGATGCAATTAGAAGGGACAGATTTGAACTGATCTTTTCATACCTGCATTTTGCAGATAATAATGAGCTGGATGAAAGTGATAGGTTTGCCAAGGTCAGGCCTCTCATTGTCCGAATGAATTGCAATTTCCAGAAGCACGCACCCTTGGAAGAATTCTACAGCTTTGGTGAGTCCATGTGTGAATACTTTGGACACCGGGGATCCAAGCAGCTGCCAGCAGGGAAACCCATGCGTCTGGGCTACAAGATCTGGTGTGGGACAACCAGCAGGGGCTATCTGGTGTGGTTTGAGCCCTCACAGGGCACACTGTTCACCAAGTCAGACAGGGGCTTAGACTTAGGAGGTAGTATGGTGGTAAAATTTGTGGATGCTCTTCAGGAGCGTGGCTGTTTGCCATACCACATATTTTTTGACAAGGTTTTTACAAGTGTCAAACTCATGTCCATTTTGAGGAAAAAGGGGGTGAAGGCCACAGGAACTGTTCGTGAATACAGGACTGAGCGATGTCCCCTCAAAGATCCCAAAGAACTTAAGAAAATGAAGAGGGGTTCATTTGATTATAAAGTTGATGAGAGTGAGGAGATTATCGTGTGCCGCTGGCATGATAGCAGTGTGGTTAATATCTGCTCTAATGCTGTGGGCATAGAGCCGGTGGAGCTGACCAGCCATCATTCAGGAATAGCCAAAACACGGACCCAAGTCCATCAACCATCCCTGGTGAAGCTGTACCAGGAGAAAGTGGGGGGTGTCAGCCGGATGGACCAGAATATTGCCAAATACAAGGTAAAGATCCGGGGCATGAAGTGGTACTCAAGCTTCATTGGCTATGTCATTGATGCTGCCCTCAATAATGCTTGGCAACTACACAGGATCTGCAGCCATGATGCCCAGGTAGACCTCCTGGCCTTCCGGAGATATGTGGCCTGTGTGTACCTAGAGAGCAATGCTGACATGTCCTCCCAAGGGAGGCGAAGCAGACGGCTGGAAACTGAGAGCCGCTTTGACATGATTGGTCACTGGATCGTCCACCAGGACAAGAGGACTCGGTGTGCCCTTTGCCACTCGCAGACCAACACCCGCTGCGAGAAATGCCAGAAGGGTGTCCATGCCAAGTGTTTCAGGGAGTACCACATTCGGTGATGCAGAATGGACAGAGGGAGCCCTGTGGATGTTTGGTTTATAATGAAATGTTTACAGCTAATTTCATAAAGCAGATAGAGCACTTGTGTTTTATTTGTGTTGGAAAAACAACACCTGAATCGCTAATGATTTGGTCTTGTATTTTCTACCCACCTCCATTACAGTTATCTTTTTATTGTCTTCTGTGATACCTACATGTAACATAAATTAATATTTATATTGGTAATTATAGATGTTTGTAAATCTATAGATTATACTGTTACTTATTTCAAATAATGGGCCCCTGTGGGTGATTCCTGTGGGTGATAGATGAGTCCTAGTTAGGAAAATCAAATAGAATCAAAAACTTTAGAGAAACTTTCATGAATAGTAAAAAGATTTTATAATTGTATACTATTGGTTTTAACATAAGATGAGACAATAGTATGTAAGTATGGTATCAATATGATGAAGGAGATTTTAATCATAGTTATTTCACTTTAACACTAGCAAGCTGTTTAGGAATAGATAATCAGCTTTGTGTTTATCCAGAGGGCTAGATTTGTAGACTTTGTATTTCCTTGATAAAAATATTTTCCTAATACAAGTATATCCTTATGGAATTCATTTTTATAACTAGTGTAAGATAGGTATCTGGTTTTTCCCCCTTAAGCAATGGTTTGCATCATTTATTAAAATATTTATATTTTCCCATTGATTTAAATTCTAATTTTATAAGGGGGGAGGAGTTAAGATGGTGGTGTAGTAAGGGGAACCTGGGCTAGTCTCAGTCCCTCAAACACAGCTCAATCAACATCAAATCATTTTAAACACCTAGGAAATTGACCTGAGGATTAAAAGAACAGTTTGCATAATTTGAGGGAGAGAACATGGCAGGTGTGGAGAGGAGATTTGGGGGAGAGAAAAGTCATGGTGCTGCAGAAGGGATGGGAGTCCTACTTGCAGAGAGGAGAAAGGGAAGTGGGGAGAGAATAGTGTGTCAGATTCGCATAAGGAAAGCAATCCCCCAAAACCATTGATGCGGGAATTGTGAGGAACTGAATATCCCAAGGTTTTGCAAACAGTGGAGGTGAAATTCTGAGTTTTTGGAAGTCTGTGCTGTTTGCTGTAATAGATCTGGATGGGCAGCAGTGCTCCTGGGGAGAAGGAGGGGAAGCCCAAGAGCAGACAGTGGACAGTGTGGTGCAAAGATTCCTTTGGTCTCACTGGGAGAGAAAGTTCTCTTTCCCCAAGTGTATTTGGAAGAGACTATAATGCCTTTCCAAGGACAAAAGACCCAGCTGGCACCTTTGAATATGTATTCAACAGCAAGGGACAGGGGCACATGCAGAGGGTGGATGAAGTGGTCGTAGCTTTTCGTTGTGCTTCACCATAAACTCTAGGCACCAGGATGGCCATGGGACTGCTTTTCTGGGACAGAACAGTACCAGATGCAGTGCTATGAAGCTCTCCTCTGCAGTGGGGGAGCGGGTCTGTGCCTTGCCTGGTCCTTTAAAATTTGAGAGTTGAGAATCCCAGTTGTATGCCATAGATAAAACACTGGAGAGCTGTGGCACCAGGCAAGTTGATGGCCCAGGCACAAAAGGGTAAGGGGAAGAATCTGATGAACCATGGGTCACAGGAGAGGAGATTGGTTGCTTGTCTGTGAGGGCTACCTGAACAGCTGCAGGTTCCATCTTTTCTGCCTGGGGAAAAGAGAGTGGTATGGTACCGTCTACCCCCACCCACCAGCCCATCACACCAGCCCATCATACACAGCACTCCTAATTGAGGCTACAGCTACTTATACCAAAGCCTGGCCCCCTGGCCCCTACAATGGTTATCTTATAGGGGCAGGTCTGATTGTGAGCCAGTGCACTGGGCTTTTCCTCCAGAGGAACAACACAGGCTCCCCCACATGCACTAAGTCTAATGATCATAGAGTGCTCCAAAGCATCAGCATCAGTTATGCTGGAAACAAGAAGAGGCCTTTTTTTTTTTTTTTTTTTTTTTTTTTTTTTTTTTTTTTTTTATCAGGCCTATAGTTTGTTTCCTTTTCTCATGTTTTGAAACTGACTTCTTTTTCTTTTTTTTATTCTTGAATTCAGCTTATAGTATTTTGTCTGTGTATTTGGGTTTCTTGTTTTTGTTTTGTTTTTTTTTTTTGATTGCTATACCTTTTTTTTTGGATAAGGCCTTTTTGTTTTCGTTAATTTGTATTGTTTTTTAAATCGGGCTTATTTTAATAAGTCAAAAGCACACCTGGTTGAAGGTCGAAACACTCCCCACTACAGGTAAGGACTGACCTGGGGGAAAGAGCAGCCAAATCACAACAGGAGATGTATAGTGCACACACCATACACCAGAAACACTTCCTGAAGTACAAGGCCCTGGAGAGTGTATAACGCTTCTTAATACAGTATTATATCCAGGAACAGGAAGCCTAACAAACTTTCATAACACACCAAAAACAGAAACCTAGACAGAATGACAAGATGATTCTTCCACAAAGAAAGATCAAGAAGAAACCACAGACATGGATTTGTTCAAAACAGATATAAGTAATATATCTGAAGGAGAATTTGGAACGACAGTCATAACTAGCTGGACTTAAAACAAAACATAGAAGGCTCCAGAGAAACCTTGGCTGTAGAGGTAAAAGAGCTAAAAACTAGTCAGTCTGAGATGAATAATGCTATAACTGAGATCAAAACTGACTGGGTGTAATTACAACAAGGATGAAAGAAGCAGAGGATTGAATAGGTGATACAGAAGGTAAAATTATAGAAAATAATGAGCCAGAAAAGGAGAGGGGAATAAAACTATTAGATCACAAATATAAACTTAGGGAACTCAGTGATTCTACAAAGTGCAATAATATCTATCTCATAAGAGTCAAAGAATAGCAGGGAAAAGTGAAAGAAGATTTATTTGAATAAGTTATAGCTGAGAAATTCCTTGATATTCGGAAAGGAACAGGCATTCAAATCCAAGAGTCACAGAGAACTCCCCTCAAAATCAACAAAAACAGGTCAAAACCACGACATATAATGAAACTTGCAAAATGCAAAGATAAAGAGAATTCTGAAAGTAGCTAAAGACAAAAGGTCCTTAACCTACAAGGGTAGACACATGAGGTTAGAAGCAGACAAGTCAACAGTATCTTGGAAGGCCAGAAGGGAGTGATATGATATATTTAATGTGCTAAATGTGAAAAATATGCAACCAACAATACTTCCTCCGGCAAGACTATCATTCAGAACAGAAGGATATCTGAAGAGATTCTAAGAATCTGTAGATTCTTAGCAAAACTCCTTAGCAAAAGCTATAGGAGTTTGTGAACAATAAAACAGTTCTGGAAGAATTACTTTAAACTTTATTTAAATTCAAGTTAGTTAACCTACAGTGTAGTGTTGGTTTCAGGAGAGCCCGGTGATTGATCACTTACATATAGCATCCAGTGCTCCTCCCAATAGGTGTCCTCCTTAATGCCTATCACGCATTTTTTTAAAGTTTATTTATTTTGAGAGAGAGAAAGAGGGCAACATTGGCAGGGGAAGGACAGAGGGGGTGGGGGGAGGAATCCCAAGCAGGTTCCATACTGTCAGTACCCAGAGCCCAACATGGGGCTTGATCTCATGAATCATGAGATCATGACCTGAGCCAAAATCAAGTGTTGGACACTTAACCAATTGAGCCACCCAGGCACCCCTGCCTGTAAGCCATTTAACCCATCCCCACCAACCTCCCCTCAAGCAACCCTCAGTTTGTTCTCTGTATTTGAGTCTTTTATGTTTCATCTCTCTTTGTATTTTTATCTTCCCCCCCCCTTCTCCCTTATCTGTTGTGTTTCTTAAATTCCACATGAGTGAAATCATATGATATTTGTCTTTCTCTACTGACTTATCTCATTTAACATAATACCTTCTAGTTCCATCCTTGCCTTATTGCAAATGGCAAGATTTCATTCCTTTTCATTGCCAAGTAGTATTCCATTGCATATATATACCACATCTTCTTTGCCATTGGTCAATTGATGGGCATTTAAGCTCTTTCTGTAATTTGGCAATTGTTGATACTAGTGCTATAAACAATAGGGTGCCTGTGCCCCTGCAAATCAGCATATTTCTATCGTTTGATAAATACCTAATAATGAAATTGCTGGGTTGTAGGGTAGTTCTTTTTTTAGTTTTTTGAGGAACCTCCACACTATTTTCCAGAATGGCCACATTAGTTTGCATTCCTACTGAGAATGCAAAAAGGTCGCCCTTTCTCCTCATCCTCGCCAATATCTATTGTTTCCTGAGTTGTTAATTTTAGCCATTCTGACTGGTGTCTCACTGTGGTTTTGCTTTGTATTTTCCTGATGCTGAGTGATGTTGAGTATCTTTTCATGTGTCTGTTAGCCATCTGGGTGTCTTGTTTGGAAAGTGGCTATTCATGTCTTCTGTCCATTTCACTGGATTATTTGATTTTGGGTGTTGTTTGGTAAGTTTTTTATACATTTTGGATACTGACCCATTATCTGATATTTCATTTCCAAATATCTTCTTCCATTCCATTAGTTACCTTTTAGTTTTGTTGTTTCCTTCACTGTGCAGAAGCTTATTTTGATGAGGTCCCAATACTTCATTTTTATTTTAATTTTGTTGAGGAGCCTCCATACTATTTTCCAGAAAGGCTGCACCAGATTGTGACTTTTCATGTGTCTATTAGCCATCTGGATGACTTCTTTGAAAAAGTGTCTGTTCATGTCTTTTGCCCATTTCTTCACTGGATTATTTGTTTCTTGGGTGTTGAGTTTGATAAGTTCTTTATAGATTTTAGATACAATCTTTCACCCGATTACACATTTGCAAATATCTTCTCCAATTCCGTCAGGTTACTTTTAGTTATCTTGATTGTTCCCTTTTCTGTGCAGAAGGTTTTTATCTTGATGAGGTCCCAATAATTCACTTTTGGGTTTGTTTCCCTTGCCTCCAGAGACATAAGAAGTTGCTGTGACTGAGGTTGAAAGAGTA